TTGCAGAGTTCAGAAACTCTGTTGAATCAGAACTTATTAAAGCTTTCATACACGCCAAAGATTTTTATTATGCAACCAGATTAGAATGTGATCCTGTTGAAACTACGATTAATGAGATCGATTTATGGAGTACAGTTATTTCTCTTGAAATGAATTCAATTAATCCAGACGAGCTAATTGATTGGACTGATATTTGGGAAAATATTTTAGATATATGCAAAAGTATTGTTCCTGAGGGTCAAGCTACTAAATTACCGACAATCATTAATGAAAAGGCAAGGTTAAGTGAAGAAAAGGCTAATACATTAAAGGTCATAATTGGTAAAATTTTAAACGTTGGTAAAATCGATCTAGCATATCGTTTGTCTCATCTTTTCTTCCTTAAAAGTCGAGATTTACTGCTTATCAATGTAAGTTGAATTGTTATGAATTTTAACTCTCAATTATGTTTTTTTATTTGTAGCTAAAAATAAGACAAATTTTAATTTTTCTAATTCTTTTTTGTTGAATCGCAGTTTTGCAATCTACTCGCTGATGGATTTTTTGCTCATGTTTGTCCTAAATCTTACATCGAAACTCGCGCTAAGGATTATGGTTTCACAGGATTGAATGAAGGTAAAGTTTTTCAAACATTTATCATTAGATAATCGTGTTTATATTAACTCTATTGATTGATTTTCAATTGTCATTTCGTTTTGTTTAGTTGTGCAAATGTTGAATGATTTTTCCCCAACTGTTCCAAGTAATGTCGTCAAAATTCTGGAAAAATGTTCATCTCTCTCTGAACATGCCGTAAATGCCTGCCAACGGATAGTCCTCTATTACAAAATATCATTTGTAAGTAATTCTTGTTAACTCATCCCTATGGTCAACAGAAAATCATTTAATGACTTTTATTTTTTTCTTTTGAAGGTTATTGAACGCTCATATTTAGATCTTTCTAGAGAACGCGATGAATTGGCAATATTGTCAGAATTAATCAAAAGATCTTCCTCAAATGTGGACGCTCTTCCTTACGCCAGAGAATTGATAACATTTGCCAAAATTGGGGGATGACCAAGTTTCAAGCTTAGTTTTGGATGCAATTATACCAACGATTGAAGAGTACCTTGTTTCCCTCGAAAAGAAAGGATTCAACAGCTATTCAACTGAAAGTTCTAACCCTTCCACCTTTCTTGCGTTGATTCGTTTAATCAATGATCCTGCTATTTTGGGAAGAAAATTTATTGACATTTTGCGACAGATATTCAACCTTTAATGGCTGTTGAAGTTTGCATAAAGCTCATGATGTTTACGCTTTGTTGTGACATCGAAGGAATCTCATTGG